TAACCACACTAACAACCTCCACTCTCCTCTATCTTCTATCCTCTCCTCCCTCCCTCCCGTCTCTCTCTCCATCCCTCCCTGCATCCCTCTCTTCACGGCAGGTCTCGGTAATTAGATTGTGGAGATGAGGAGGTGGAGGAGAGTTAAGAGGATTTTGTTTTTAGGAGAGGGAGATTTAAGAATGAGAGAGATAGAGGGGGTGGAGTGGGAGAGAGAAAGAGAGATCAAGCTTGAGTGTAAGAAGAAGAAGGGGAGAGAGAGTGAAGGGGGAATTAGAGAAAGAGGAGAGCAGATCCTCTTCTTTTTGTTTATCCTGAGTCGGTCACCCTTCCTGAAAGGGTGTTGAGTGACAGACAGAAAAATACATGAAGAGAGAGAGAAAACAAACGAAGAGATAAAGACATCACTTGTTCTTTTTGTGTCTCTCCTGGTGGTCGACCTTGAATATGACCACACAGAGAGACGTACACACAAGACAGAAACAACATTACACCCTGAAAGAAATGAAGGTTCTTGCAAAGGTTCTTTTGTTCTTGATGAGCTGTAATAACGGCTCAAACAAACACTTATTTATTCATATAAAACCAATTCATCCATCCCATTTCGGCTGCTTATGATGGTGGAGATCGGGCTCACCATGGTAGCCCAGAAGCCCCTCTTCCTAGCCACATTCTGCAGCTCCTCTAGGGATCCTGAGCCCTCCCACATGGGATAGGTAATCCCTTCAGCGTTTTCTTGGTCTGCGATCTGGAGAAACCCTCATCAGATGCTGAACGACCTCAACTGGCAGCAATTTGACAGCTTTAGGGAAGAAGCTGTTTTTCAGTCTTGTGGTGCATGTCAGAGAGGAGAAGTTAGAAGAGATGGTGGGCGGGGTGAATTGGGTCGTGGATGATGTCAGAGGCCCTGCTGGTGGCGATGATGTCAGAGCTGCTGGTTCACACTCAGTGGCAAACTGTTGCTGGAAGTCACAGGTCAAAGCAAGCAGAACATCATCACATCATCTGCAAAAAGCAGAGGCCACCATACTCATCCCTCGGCTGAAATAGCTAAATTTCACAATAATGTAATTTCAAGAATGGACAGGCACATAATAATGTCTCAAACCACACTAAGGTGGTCACCAGAACACAAGATTTTTTTTTTCTGCATATACCATTGAGTTCTCCATTCTCATTTCCCAGTTTCACATGTTCCCAGCTGTTTCCTTGCTTCCATGTTTTAAATTTCCCATCTCTTCCTTGTTGTTGTCTTTTCCTTTGCTTCTACTTGTCCACGACTTTATCTTTTCTATCCTCCTTTATCTCAGTTTCTTTGTAAGTCACTTTAATCTTCTATCTCTCTTCACACTACCTCTCCTGTCCTCTCTCTCGACCTATCTCACACTTGTTTTCTGCTTTTCTGTCCATCTCAGCCCTCCCTCTACATCCTCCGTCTCTTTCTTTTTCTCTGCAGCCACTCCGCGGCTTTCCATGTATTTTGGAAGAAAAGCTTTTTAGCAAATATTTGTCCGACTGTGTCTGTAGAGCCCTCTGAGTCAATATGGGCCTAGCCAGGCTCGACCCGCCAGAGAGAGAGAGAGAGAGAGAGGGAGGGATCAGTGCATAAAAACCAGCAGTGCAGAAACAATAGAGACTTAGGATTCTCTCTCTTTCTGCTCTCTGTCTGAAAATAAACTCACATAGGAAAGATTTTTGCTATCTCAAGCTGACCAAACTGCAATCATGATACTGATAATGATGATAAAATGATTTAACAGTGTTTATACTGGTCCTATCCACTGAAAATTACTTTCTAAAATTATTTTAATGCACACAAGAGAGGAAAACCTTGTCATAAGAACATTCCTCCATACCGCTACTAGTGGTTTAAAAACTCTACATGGTCGCAAACATTTTTTGTTTTGCGGTGCCTAAACCACCACATGGAAGCTGTGGTACTGCATGTTTAAAGTTAACAACCTGCACAGCTGCGTTGATCTTACCTTCGCTGAAACACGGCTGACTGTTCAGTTCAGCTGTCTAACGTCTAAAATATTTGGTACTGCTTCCTACCTTGAGACTTCAAGACATGAGGGGCGGGCTAGAGAGACTCAGCGACTATCCTTGCTTGCTAAGTGAATCAGTGAATCCCTGCACGTTCTCTTGCAACTGACTAAGAGCTCAACTATACTACTACTGATGCACACTATGAATGTTTTGGCAATACAGCCCAATACAAACTTAATGTGGTTATGTGTTAAGTTGGTAGAAAACAGACTTGAGACTTTAAAATGAAGCGTGGGTGTCGGGACACCCTGATAGCTCACCTGGTAGAACTGGTCCCCCATGTAAGGCTGAGTCCTTGCTGCAGCGGCTATGGGTTCAACTCGTTCGACATGTGGACCTTTGCTAGTATCATCCCTCTCTCTCTCTCTCTCTCTCTCTCTCTCTCTCTCTCTCTCTCCACCTTTTCCTGTCAGTCTTCAGCTGTCTATATCAATTAAAGGCAATAAAAGCCCCCAAAAATGTATTTTAAAAAATGTGTGGGTGTTGTGTGAGCCATTTCGTGGCCTGTGTAGACAACTGTATTGATTAAATATTGAAGCGAATCAGTTCCGTCTGACAGACTGTTAAGCTGCTATCATTTATTGTCATGTTTGCTGTCTGTGATGTCAAAGTTATACAATTACCAAGTGGACGAAATCAATCCAACGTCTGACTTGTCTCCACCACTCAAAAGCTGATGTAGGGAACTTTTTCAGCTCGGCAGCTCATATTTATAGTAAGAACATTTCTCAGTCAATGTGTTCGACTTTCTGTTGTTGAAGCAGACTTTGTAGACGCTGTAGAGCAGATTTTAGAGTTATGACCGTCGTCCTCTGACTCTAACATGCTGAATTATTGTTCCAGCTTCAATCTAGTTTAATTCATCTTCCTGTGCTCCCCCCACGCTGTCTGCTGCAGTTATTTGGCGCAGAGCGAGTATCACTCAGTCGTTTTGTTGTTGTTTAGAGCCTCCTCCTTCAACGTAATACACACCTCCTGTTTGGAATAAATTTATCTGCAACCTCACAAACACACACGCAAGCACACACCAGGCTTGTCCTCTTGATCCTGTCTGCTGTATTCTGCATCCCCATCTCCTGTTTAGACAACCAGGCGAGCCACAAATATGCTAAACTGAAGAGAGCGAGAAAGAGGAGATGAAAGACAGAAGAAGAAGAGTTGAGTGTGTGTGAGTGTGCATGCAAGGAAGAGAGAGAGAGAGAGTCAGAGAATCCCATTTCATTGTAATAGTGTTTAATATTTATTGGAAAAATGTAAAGAAAATGTAAAGGAAGTGCTTTTCAGCGAGCGGGCAGGATTAGCATAAATAGTTTGGGGCTTGGACGTGTTTGGTCCCTGCCGCAGAGGAGTAAGGCTGTCCCCTCTATTCTCTGTGACACACACACACACTCAGAAATACATGCATATGTTTGCACACACGGCCACATCTACACACACTTGTGCACACGCTTGCATAAGTAAACATTCAAACATGCAAACACACACACACTCACTGACCTTTGCGTGTGGAAACTCATCAGCATATAGTGATTTATAATAGGCGCTGCCAATCCTTGTGTTTCTTTTTTTCTCTCTTTTTTGCATTTATTAGACAGGAGCAGCGAGGGAAGCGGAGGGGGGAATATTGGCTGTTGTCATTTATTTTATGCACTGTTACTGCTGATCAAGGATCTGTGTGCTGAATTTGACTTTATGCTAACGAACTGTTATGAATGACCTGAACTTCACTGAACTGTGGAGAATTGAAAAAGTACATAATACCAAATTTAGCTTTTGTTTGTTCTTTTTTAAAACTACGGTTTGAAGGACAATTCTGGTTTACTGAAACTTTTCTCAGCAATATTGAGATTGTATTCACCAAATTAATTGCTGAGATCTGTGAACACAGCGGACATCACTATAACAAAGCCTGACGGGTCAAGACACAAATGCAGTCAGATGATCAGACAGATTGGAAACAAGTCAACAGTTTATCCAGATTATCACTTTATTTAGAGGTGAAACTAAAAGGGAGAGTGCCTGAATTGTTGGCAATGATCTCTCATTGCACAGAAACTTACACGCACGTACAAGTAAAGATTTACTATACTGAAAACCAACATGTTCTCATCCCAGGCTGTCAAATACTGCTGTATTGCTGTAAATGTATTCCATAAGACATCAGAACAGTGTAACCTTCAAAGATAAAATGCAAACCAAGATTTTTGGTATCAAAAATGGGTCCTCTGCTGTATTTTTAAAGAAAAACTGATGTATTTTAAAAGTGTAATCCTTTTCAGGATTACAATTACCTTTTTTTGTATCCTGATTGCTTAACTCACTTACATGTAATCTGTTACTCCACAAGCCTGACTTCTTGGTTAGGAAAAGATCATGGTTTGGGATAAAAAAAAAAAGTAATGAGTTGCAAATTCACGTTTCTTTTACAGCAGCAATGTAACGTCATCAAACACATGACTTTTGGAATTACGCAAGACACAAACCCTGTCCTCCTGGGTCAAAGTCCTGTGTTTGTTTGACTCATCCAACTACATTTGCAGTAATTTTCAGTCTAACCTGGAGGTTTCTTTCCAACCTGTGTTTGTCTGACCATGTTCCCAGATCTCAGCTATTAACTTAAAGAAAGAAAAAGTCCAAAAAGCAGTTACCCATTCATCCCCAGCTTGTTACTTTAGAAAGTAGAGACATCTTCTTTCCATTGATGCAGTTTCTGTGGGAGATTTAGGTGGCTACTTATCTTAACCATCCAGTTCTTCCACTTCTGTTTACTACAAACAAGCTAGAAATGAAAAATACATCATTTTGTACTATGAGACAGCGGCAGGAACAGCAAATCGAAGATGTCTCAGCAGGTTCATTCATGTGTTTTTGGTGCTGTATTATAATAATTTGAATATTTACTGTTTTGCTGACCTTTCTTCTGTCTTTTCACTTTTCTCTTTCACCCACCAGTCTCTGTGTTCGGAGGTGCGAGCACGACGGCGAGGAATTTCCTCTGTTCTGAAACTCTGCCAGAAGCTGCTGCAACAGAGCCAGGTACGTAACAAAGAGTCTTATCACATCACTGACCTGAAAAAAATCTAAGAACTCAACTTGGCTTTATCTCCAGTTATAACTGAAAAAAGTTTTCAGAAAGAATGCCAAATATTTGCCACTTACAGTTTGAAAAATGTTAGCTTGATATTTAATTTGAGTATGTTTTCTTTTCCTTCATGAAACCCTGGAGAATCAGTGGCAAACCCTCATAAATCAGCTTAACCTTGGGAGAGAAATTATACTGTTGTACATTCTTAAGATCATGAATTTAATCATATAATTAGCATGATAATAGGCTTTATAATTCTGACAAAACTGTTTCTACACTCCCCACCTCTGGGATAGTCGGGCCCCATGGCGGAGGTGGGCCCAGAGGCGGAGCAGCACCGAGAGGCCCTGCAGCTGCTGTCAATCAACCTGGAGAGGAGGTGGGAGGCGATCGTGATGCAGGCGCTGCAGTGGCAGAACAGACTGAAGAGAGAGCTGGGAGAGCAGCAGGTTAGAGCGCTCTGACATTTACACTTTACATCCTTCATTCTACACTGCAGGCAGTCAGCTGATGCACTGTTACACTCAGTGAGCATGTCAGCGTTTGATTTGATGCTAAGATGCAGCATGAAAGACAGATGGTGCTGTGATTGAAGCTGCAGTGTTTTAGTTATGGAACAATCTTTACAACCCGAGACGCTGTCATAATGTTTTGTGAAATAAGCATCAACTCCAGAACAAAGCACAAATTCTGATCCGAGCACAAACCAGCCTTGCCTGTTTTATTCGTTCCCCTGATAAAACTGGGCAGCAAAAGGCAACAAAATTAATTTCATTAAGGCAACAGTTTTGTTGTGGTTAGGTATGAAAATGTCTCTGAGGTCCTGTTTATACAGTGAAATTCAAGATGCACTGAAAAGGGGAAGTGGGGGTGGTGAGCAACTGCAATAAAAAAGTTACTTGATGGATTTCCTAGATCATTGTCAACCAGTAATTGGGGTTGGGGCGAGATATGGCCCCAACCCCTCATCGTAGTAGATCGAACAACTCACTTGTCCAATGAGACAACTGCTAAAAACGAATGAAAACAGCATCTGGACTGCGTGGCAGCTAAGAGGGTCTTTGTTGTTATTTGATAATCATGAATAAATAACAATCTGTAGAGGGTTTAGAGTAAAAATTTACTTTGGGCAAGTATATTTCTGACAATAAAAGAAAATAAACAATTAACTTTGAGCCCTGCAACTTCTGCCTTGTGCCTTTTAATAGGAGATCTTCGTTGCATTTCCTCAAAACTATTCTCAACATGTCTCAGTTTGCAATCTGTGACAATTGCTGACAAAGAATCTGACTGAGATCTTCTGACCTGTTCCTCAAGGGTCAATTATTGGCTCCTTTTAGGGCATTTCATCCATTGGTTTGCTGTGTCTCTTGTCAACTCTATGCCAATGACATTCATGTTTATGTATGTATGAAACCCTGCTACTAAATCACAACACAAATTATTTTATTTGCCCCCAATCAGACCTTAAAGTTGGTGTCCAGAAATCTAAAGTTAGATTTGATACCCAGTTAAATTCACATATTCTTTTTTCTTCTTTCTTTCAACATACTTTTACTGTAAGTATAAGTAAGTCTAAAGATACAATTTGTCCTTTGGCTTTGGCGATATTAGCCTGACAGGGGTGCTAGAGGAAAGGTCAGTGGATTACCAGAAGCATTAGGAATCTCCCTATGGGGACTATCAACATCCACAAATGTCATTGTTATTTTGATCTGTGCAGATGGATATATCTCAAGATCTATGTAACAATGGACTGATATCTAATTATAATGACCTTTGTGATGCTCTGCCTCTATCTGAGCAAACCATCTGTGTCTATTCTGACTTTTTAAAGCCTACAGAGGCTGAAGCTTCATACGTCGACTCCACTCTGAGTCAAACAGTCCTCAAGCAGCCAGTTGATAAAAACTAATCTGTTAGTTCTCCAGTGCGATCAGTGTCACAGAAACAGCGTTTTCTCTTCCATCTCCTCCACAAACAAAAGAAACTTGGCAAATGAGATTTTAACACTTTGACAGTTTGCATATCACATCAGCGCGTGTCTGCCGCCATGACGGTGCGGCGCCAAAGGGTTTGTCTTATTAGAAATCTTCAGCCGATGAACTGATTCAGGTTCCACGTCTCAGGTACGAGCCACTCGCTGATCACAGCAACGGTTTAGCACCGCAGGATGACAGCTCAGCACATGTGCAACTCGTGTGAGGATGTCAAGTACTGAGTGCGGTAGGTGTTAAGAGAAATATTGCTCATGAGGGAGCCGTCCAGAGCCGAGCAGCTCGGGCCAGACGAGGCTCAGGGGCAGCAGAAAGAGAGAGAGAGAGCGCTGAGTGCTTTATTTGGTTGATGTAACGTGAAGGCAGAGAGCTGCAGCAGAATGGAGCTGTTATGGATTTCTAATAGTGATGAATATGGTTCTATAGAGACAGAAGGTGCATTTGAATATGAGGTGAAGGGTTTTGCACACACAACACACCCAGAGGCACACACATACACACAGTCACACTTATGTAAGCATAAAAAGCTGAGTAACACACATGTAGATACACTAAAACTGCACACACACACACACACACACACACACACACACGGTGACATAAATACATATATACAAACACACAAAGTGTCCTGTGCATATGAAAGCACACACACACTGGAACAATTTATTGATTGCCAGCAATTAATTGATGGATAGCTACATGTTAAGAGCTCAGAAAGCGGAGAGGGAGATGGAAGGTGAGTGGGAGGGAAAAAAGAGAGGAGGACAGGGAGGGGTGATGTAAAAAGTAAACTTTGTTAAATACAAAACTAAAGCAAGACGACATCTTAAAACCTGTCAATTATTAAACTTACTGCAAGGATTTTTTAACAGGTTAGTCTCAGTTTAACAGTCAAGCCTATATATGACCTACATAAACAAAACATCAGAGAGGAGACTGGCTATTTCTATATAGTTATTCCTAATGGCTGCCACTGGGTCAGATTCCCCTTGAAATCAATGAAACATGCAGTAGAAACACTACCGTTTTTGCCCACAGGGGTCACCAGAATCAACACAAAATGAAAGTTCATTGTAGAAGCTTTAAGGACATTTTAAACACATTTCAAGAAAAAAATGTCAATTACTGCTTCTACAGTATTTAGTCATTCAGTCTTTAAAGAATGACAAGATTACATAATTGTATATAAATCTGATTAATAATTTATTGGTGCTTCTTACCTTAGTTGGCATTTGTGTTTTCCTATTTAATGAAGTTCTCTCTTGTCTCGTCACTCTTTGTGTACCATGTGGTCATTATGGCCGAGGTTATCAACCCTTTTTAATGCAGCAACCTAATTTTAGTTCTGGAATTTGCTGATACCTAAGCGATGTATAAAATAAGGACACAACGCCTTTTTTACTGCACATGCCACAAAAGTTTAATGATAATGTTTCAATTCGACTTGGATCTTCGCCAAGTCAGAATGTTTAAAAGACTGGGATCAAGCTGTATGGTAGCAGTTGTGGTTAATAATCCCAACCATGGTGGTAAACATCCAAAAACAACTACAAAAAAGTATATAGAAAATGGTAGAGGAGATAAATAATACAAAAGTTGTGCTTCAGTATAACATTATATCATCACATAAATCCAAATCTACACCTACATTCAAAATATATTGTATAAAAAGAGAAGAAATCTTAAATTCATGTACAAAAATTGGGTCTAAACTTTCTTTCATAAATGTTTAGCTAGATCAAATCCCACTAAGGAAAAATACACCTGTTGTGTTTGTTTTGTATTTGAAAAACGTTCTCTTTGGAGGGTAGAGGGTATTTAAATTAAACTTTTAATTTTTAGTGACAGACGGTGATTTTAGTGAAGAGCTGTAACAGGTGAGTGGCAGCAGGACATGAATGCTTTGTCGACAGTCCACGAGGCAGAACCAACGTCAGGTTGTAATCAAACAATCTGTTTCCAGATTTGCCAACTTTTTTTTGGAAAAATATGTGGTATTTTCTCTGAGCTTTGTTATGTGTACAGTCTTAATTGAAGATACACATAAAAACAGGTAAATGAAAACATACTTGATAATGTAAGTCTCAGCTTCTCCAAACTATCTGTACAGGATTTTGGCTTCTTTCTCTATGATTTATTTAATTCTGGGGACATCTTTGAGGGTCATTTTTTTCAGAACAACCATTTCCAGATTGAAACTCCTTTGGATGAATAAAGTTGCGTAGAACTAAATTAAATTGAATCAAAACCATTAAAAGTCTGTTGAATTATGAATGTTGGAATTTAGTGAATCGGCCTAATTCTGCTGTACACATGCTCTCATACATGAGGTGGGACTCTCTCTCTCCCTACATTCACACACAAATACAGACACACACACACACACACACACACACCCACACACACACACACACACCCACACACACACATTGTAGAGGAGGAGAAGACAAATAACAGAGGCCAGACACTTTGACCTCGCTGCCTGGCTGGAGAGTAATTTCACTTCTCCTGGGGATGGGAGAGGAATAAAGAGAGAGAGCGAGAGAAGGAGGGAGAGGGGGAATGAGTGTAGAGAGAGAGAGAGAGAGAGAGAACCAGAGAGGCATATATCTGGGTGGTTTAGCTTATAAATGAACACTTCTGCTCAGTGATAAAACGATGGTCCTCTCCTGGTCTCTGTGTGTGTGTGTGTGTGTGTGTGTGTGTGTGTGTGTGTGTGTGTGTGCGTGTGTGTGTGACGAGTGTTCTTGCTTGTGTACAAATGGCTGCCGGTGTGCATGTTTCAGACTTCAGCTGCCTGATGTTTATGTGTAGTTGTTTCTGCATGTATGAAAGCAACATGTGCGTGTGTTCCTGTGTATGTGTGTGTGTGTCTACATACTCTATCGTGTTTACAGGCATCAGTCTGGATTTTATCTTTATCTTCGACATAGACAGTAAAGGTTGTGAAATAATTGCTGATAAAAATAACTTTACTTTGATGCCCCCAAACCCCCCTAAGCAAGTTCAGTATTTGGACTTTGGCATTTCTAAAACCCTGTGTACAAATACATAGGTAAATATCCTTGCTAAAATAGATTAAAAATAGAAAAATGAGCGTTATGTATGATGTTTAGTGTTATAATGTGCTGAATTAGGGTACTGGCCCCTTTTTTTGGTCCAATCCAGGCACTGCTGAGAACTGTGAGGGTGACCTAATGATGACTGTGGCAGTCTAACCATGAAAGGTCATGTGATTGTGAGGATGAGACATTGTTACAGGATGAGACGTACATTTACATCTCTCCTTGTTCACTGTGTGTTTATGTTCTGCTGTTCAGAGAGCAAATGAAGGATCCTGTTTTACCTTTTATTTGATGTAAATGACTGCAGGGTGTTGTGAGGATGAGGTTTCACTAAGTATACCTGGTAGTCGAATGTAATATATGGAAATTGTATTTTAGAACACTTTTCTCACGATTATGAAATATATTTTAGAGCGGAGTTATGAGCAACATATGGAGGTTTTCATTCACCGTTTGCAATTACATTCAAAGCAGCCTGTCTGCTCCTCCACTCTGCATGGAGAGGTGATTTATCTGTGCGGTTCTATTCATTTTGAATCAGACCGGTGACGCCGGGCTCCCTCAGCACTTTGACAACTGGTACAGCAGAGAGCCAGCAGAGACTCGAGCAGCAGCAGCAGCTCCTGGAGGAGCACAGGCACATGAATAATCACCCAGACGCTGCTAGATAGCTCCGCTCTCCTTGGGCCTTCCAGCAGATGCTATGCTAACAAATGGGAGCAGTCAAACCAGAGCTAATGGGAAAAAGTTTCCCGTTTTCACAACCAAAAAACACTGCACAGGTCCCTTGCATGCACACAAACACAAAACGCACACAAACACTGTCACCAGCTGCGATTAAGGCAGTAAACAGAGCCGCTGTAAACACCGGACTCTGATAATGTTCATGTGAGTATAATCAGAACGCGCATTGTCAGTCAGAGTGACATGAAACTACTAAACCCGCTCCTGGTTCCCAGAGGATGAACCCTTTTGATTATAATGAGCGTATGAACTTTCCTCCACCACAGCCCCTAAGAAGAGATAACCATCAGTGTGTTGTTTGTTCTGTCACTTTTGTGCATTGACCATTACAACTTCTACAACCTCCAACTACTTTTAACTGTTAGTTAAAACAACCAAATATATGGATGTTAGCTGTAGCTAGTTAGCAACATACATACTGAAAGTTCATCCTCTGCTTGCTCTCAGAAATCACCAGGAACTCCAGTTCTTTTTTCTCCGGTTTGATTTATAAAGTCCCAGGATGAGTTTCAATTTCTTTGTTAACATTGTCAACTCCACCCAACAAACCCACTCACAATTTTCTTCTGGCTTTGAATGTAATTGTGTTGTTTGTCTTCTATCTGAACACACCTTAAAGATTCCACATTTAGGAAGATCTATTGTCAGAAATGGAATATAATATTCATAGTTATGTATGTCACCTGAATATAAGTACTGTTGTGTTGTAAGGTAGTTGTTACCTTAGAAAGAGACGTTTTTATCTAGAGAGGGCCATATTTCTACAGTAGCCCAAAACAGACAAACCAAACTCTGGCTCTAGATAGGACCTTTTGCATCTCTCTGGAGTTTTGCGGCCACCCTAGTTTCTTGGCAAAGAGCTTCAGGGGAAAAACAACTGGTGCTTAAGTATGATGAAAAAAATGTACTGAAGCAGACTTGGAGCTCTAGATGAGCTCTTTATGCACGTCTAAACACCACTAGACCATAATGTGTGGCACAGATGCGCGCCATACCATTGGAAAACAATGGTATTGCAGGCGGAGCGTTCTAGCAGTGTGATAGGCCCCTTAGAAGGCGAGCGAATTCAGTTGGTTACAATCTGCACCTTCACTGCTAGATGTCACTAAATACACTTTTCTTTTAACAAACATTTTCTCACTTTATTTGAACGTGTTCAAAGAGTGCCGACTTTCAGCTCAGCTTCAGCTCAAAGCACACAGCAACTGTCTATGTTTCTGTCACAGTTCAGAACAACGAAGCAGAAAATGCAGTTCGTTCTGTTATTTTCCTCCAGTTTCAGTATTTAGTAATACAGTCTTGTGATGAGTGCACAGTTTTTGCTCAAAGGGTTGGGGTTACCACACCACCTGGAGCAAACCTGCATCAGTTTGTGTCCATTCACATCTTGTACAATCCAGCAGTCATCTTTAAAGGTAGAGAGGTAGGTAAAGAAGATAAATGGGAGATTGGACCAAAAACTTTAACATTTTACATTTCAAATGTCTGTAGACGCTTTACACAAATCTCTAAGTAACTATGTGAATTATTTGACTAAAATTATTTCACAAAATCAGACAAACTACTTGTTTATCTACAATATACTGTAAATTTAGTATGATTACATTTGAACCCCCTGCACAATCCTGCACAAACTCAGTCTCTAAAGTCAGCTTCAGGAACATCTGGACCAACAGTTTACGGAGGAATACCCTGGCATGTTGCTGGAGTCTGGGTGGGAAATTATCACCACTGTTTGACTGGTAAATGTGTCTGCTCTGCCTGCGTGCCAACTCTGCCTCTTTGGCAGGTAACCAACAACACTTTAGAGTTATTTTCTGCTTTAAAAAATGTGTTTTTGAAAGCACTGTGGCCACCAGACAGCAGAAGTCACCTACCTTCTCTGTCTGGGGTCATAAAAATACCCGCAATTCAGCTGTAAACTGTTACAAAATTATAGAAATGAGATAAATTACAGATATAAATTATATACAAGGTTTTCGTGGGTCATCAAATACTCGATTTGATTGGATTAGGCTGATTGATAGTCTCTCCCCTCAGCGCTGAATGTGTTTTTGAATGCGTCTGTAGTGGCAAAACCCAGTTCAGTCATTACCCCCATCTCCCTTATCAGCACAAGGGGAATAAACACAAATCTAATAGAAATTCATTACACAGACCCATATCCACACACCCACACTCACACACACACAGAGCCAACTAGTTTATTAGATTAATAGGCTATGAATGGCTAATACGAATTACCCCCCTCTCTTGTTAACGAGACGCGGAGCAATTTGTATAATTATGTCTGTGGAAGGGAAGAATTCCTGTGTCTAAGCATATTTTTAGACAGCCGAGCTTTCTGAAGGCTTTTGATTACGTATTTACTTTGGGGTTTTCAGCTTCGTGCTCTTTCTCTCAGAAGTCGTTTTTGAATAATTCATCGCTTTGTTCCAGAGCGGAATAATTTGTGTTGAGATTTATGAGCAATTGCTTTGGGGTGGGCTGATTTTACTCTTTTTTTTTTTTTTTAAATGATCACAGAACGTGTTTTGTCAGAGTCGGGTGTCAGTGTGTCTCTTTCAAACGGAGGCCTGAGTCGAGACGGCGCTCTCGGAGAGTACACAGGATTTAAAACACATCTTTTTTAAAGAGTTTGGTGCCAAAACAAGATACACAACATCTGAAACCTATACCCACAGCGTTTGATAGCACAGAATAAAACATTTCATGCACTTTACATGATAATAGAGAGCTATTCCCTTTTAACAGCACACTTCAACTTCTGTCTGAACAGGCTATTGGCCTCAAATTACTGTAGGTTTCTTGAAAAGAGGAAATGTAAGTCATTAAGCCCTGTTTTAAAAATTCCCTATAAATTAGTGTCAGTAACATGAAATAAGACATAATGAGATGCATAGCTCCACCAGTATCAGGAAAATGACACTTGCTTGAAGAAATATTTTGAAACATATTGATTTAGGACTCAATAATTGCCTAAATGACTTGTTAAGATGTAGTTTTCAGTAGTATATTAAGTGGTGAACACCCATAACAGCATTACATTTCAAAGAATAAAGTTGTCTTTTAATCTATAGTCTTTAGTCTATTAATGTTGGTTTTCCATTAAATTCTATACATGTCCACCTTATACCAAGGATTTCCAACATAGCACCCAATGACCTTAAAGATGCAGTGTATCTTCAATTTTTCTTTTCCAAATATTTTGAAATGCTATGCACTCCTTCATGGTTTGAGAAAATTCTCCACCAAGACAACAGATAATATGAAATTGCTCCTAGAACTAGCTCAACATTTTGAGAAATAAGCTTATTCTCGATCTTCTTGAGACTAAGATGAAAAGATTCATATCAGTCTCATGTCTGTGTGATAAGTGGAGAGCTGGAGCCAGGAGGCAATTAGCCTAGCTTAGCATAAAGACTGGAAAGTGGAAAACAGCTTGCCTGACTCCATCCAAAGTTCAGAAATATGCTTACCAACACTTCTAATGCTCACTAATTACAACAGCCTGGCAACAGTGAGGTTGCCATGTTTGACACCATCAAAAATCGAAACTGAAACTTACCAACCTACCATAGCTGACGACTTCACACTATCTTTCAGAAATAAATATTTCCAGCACATAACTCCTATAACAAATTGTTATTTTACATCACTGTTAGGGTACAGATTAACCAAGATAAACCGTTAATTTGTGAGCTGTAGTGGCATTAGTGTGAGCCAGGCTAGCTTTTCCTCCTGTTTCCACTCTTTATGCTAAACTAAGCTAATCTCCTTACAACTTATTTATCTTCTTTTACCGCAGCAGTGAATATCATACTGTCAAGTAAGCAGTGACAGTTGTAAGAGGCCCTCACACACAATACAAAAGTCTGTATAATATAACGTTAAATGTGCTGTATTTGCATTTAGTTATGATCCTTGATGCACAATTTTCTTTGCTGCAGTATAGCCCAGTTCATTCAGAGTACACTAGATTTCTGTCTTTTTAAGATGAGTCTTTTATGTCATTTTACAAAGACGACAAGAAACATGAAGAGAATTGACATGCAGCAGGATTAAAACTAAACTAAACAATTTTCTATCCTTATGTCTGCAGGTTCCTGGAAACTTTCTGGAACTAGGTCTAGTCGACCTCCATCAGATCAGTCCAGTCCCAGCTGGTCCAGTTGCACCGCCGTCAGATGACTCATGGGAATGGGATGAAACTGATATGACAATCACAGAAACAGAGCCACAAGAAGTACCAGAACCTGACCTTACGCACAACCTCCCCACAGAACCAAATCTGCTGTCAGGCAGCGTTCTGTCCAATGGGAATCAACCCGACAGGTTTCAGACTGATGCACCTGCATCATCTCAGGACACTGAGATGAGGCCCAGAATGAGGAGTGGATCCTCATCAGAAGTTCAACCCAATATGTTCCAAACTCCCCCCCCTAACAACAATAACATCTACCAGGTGTACAGCCTCCATAATGTGGAATTATACAGACAGCCTCAGTTTCCTCACATCTCCTCGCTGCACAAAACCAAATCAGGAAAACGAAAACAGCACCTCCTGCTGAAGAGCCTAAGTAAGGACTCCTCCTTCTCCTCCATTGAATCTCTGCCGGACCTCCTGGGAGGTATGATGTCAAACAGCCGAGGAGGAGATAGAATTGTTGGATGCCACGATGGGGAGGGTGGCAGAGAAAGCGGCCAGTCGACAAGCAGCCGACGGTCAGAGAGCGAGAGCGGGATCGTTAGTGATACAGGAGACACAGAGACAACAACAAATTCTGAAATACAGGGAGAGGAAGAGGATCAGGGGGAAGAGGAGGAGGAAGATGAAGAAAAGGAGCAGAGGAAGGATGAAACTGTAGATGGCAGTAATCTGGCTCTGCACAAAGACAGTGTCACCAGGTACAACCAAAGAAGAACCAAGACAGAAGAGATTACGAAGGAGAAAGGATGGAGAAGAGATGAAATGAGAAGAAACGGGGAGGAGGAGAAGAGGAGAAGGCACAGGAGGGGAGGAGGTGAGGCAGTTGAGATCCTAATCAATGGGCGTGGAATCTTGACTCCAGCTGACTCCGACTCTGACTTGGAGGTGGGAGGCTCCTCCAAGACCTTTATGTCCTGCAGTGACATTACAGTGTTCAAAGTTGACCAGTTTAACGGTTTGGAGACTCCTCCTGCTCTCAGCCGCAGGGCATCAAGTCCAGTTTTATCTCAGGGCTCCTCTTTGGAGTCCCTCCTGGCTCTGGGTGTGGAGTTATTTCCTTCCAAAGACCCACTGCATCGTAGTGCCTCGCTGGAGAGTTGCCTGGCCCCGTGTCGTAGCGCTGAAGGTGATACCGGAGGCAGTCTGGCCAGCCTCGGGGAGCTGGACCTGGGGCAGAGCAGAGTAGTGGAAGAAGATGAACCAGGAAAGGAGAAGATCAATGAAAGTGTGCAAGGAGAACCGTCCTCTGGGGAGCTGAGCAGAAGAACTCTTGATCTCCTGAAACGCCTGGAGAACATCCAGAGTCCTCTGGCAGCAAAGATGACCCGCAGTGTTTCTGACATGACGCTTCGGAGCACCTCTCCTCAGCGGAGCAGACTCCCTGCCTCTCCTTCTCTCGGTGGTCGACATGCCCCCCTTTCTGGGATTTCAGGCTCTTTACGGAAAGGGCCGCCATCCCTGATCAACGAGAGTTCAGCAACAGCATCGCTTACAGAGCTGAGTAGCACAGAAGACTCGTCTCTGGGATCTGAAGATTTCACCATGCTCAGAAATCAACGCCACCTCTTCCTGGATCCTACCATAGCAGCCAATGCCAATTCAAGCTCTTGTAGGAAACGCTGCCACGGTAGCAGCCGAGGAGGGCAAGGGATGGATGAAGCAGACGCAGCGAGTTTGAGCCTGGTGGTGAATGTCTCTTGTACGTCAGCATGCACAGATGAAGATGAGGACGACAGTGACCTTCTGTCTTCTTCCACACTCACGCTCACTGAGGAGGAGCTCGGTGTTCGGGACGAAGAGGGCGAAGAGGAGGAGAGGTTGAGCTGTGCCTCTTCCGCTAACGAGAATGATGAGGATGACGATGAAGAGGAGATGGAAGGGTCTTATGTCTTGGGGCTGGAGTACATGAAGAGGGAGCTGCAGACTTGGATCAGATCTCCTCGAACCTCATCTTCCTTCTCCAAAACAGAGGCAGGCCTCCGGGATGAGCTGCAGTGTGGATCCAACCTCTCCTCCACCTTCATTTCCTCCTCTCAGAACAACGAGCAGCACTGTTTTCTGAACCGCACAGCTGCAAAATTATTAGAAACCAACACTAATAGTGGCAACAACAAAACCAAAAGAGATCATAAAGAACAAGAAGAGGAGGAGGAGAACCGGAGGAACGCAACAAGAAGCTTCATCAGCCAGTTTGTTGATGACGTGGAGAACGGAAATGTGGACCAGAGCTGTTTAAAAGGTAAAGACGAGGATGACGAACTCCTTCGAGAGGAGTCAAGTGTGTTCACAAAGAAAGGAGAGTCACTGAGGGAGTCTTACATGTTCTCCAAAACAGGTGAGTCACTTCAGGATGTAAGTGACTTGATAGTGAAAACGGAATCAAACTCAATAAAGCAGCTTCCTTCGTCACCGTCCTGTGAGCTCCTTCCCTTTCCATCCAAACGTGCTTCCTCTTTAGTGGGACAGCTGAGAGGGGAATTGCCTTGTCACAGCACCTCCCTGCCCTCACCTCCTTCCCTTTCGCCCCTTGAGGATTGCAGATCCCATGACGCCTTGCACAACAGCAGGCCGGCAACTGGGGGACGGAAGGCCATCACCATTCAGGAAAAGTTCAAATTCTCATCTTTTGTGACGGAGGAGACGAGGAGGGAAGTTAGAGACAAAGAGTCGTCCCTGCCTCCTAAAAAAAGGCACCATTCTCACTCCTCTTGCTGCAGCCACCTTCCCTCCCCCTCTTCCCTCCATCCATGCAGAGTAGACGAAGGCAAGAAAGAGAATGTGCATGACTTTGTAATGGAGATTATTGACCTGACCTCACTGGCACTGAAGAACAAAGAAAATCAGCCTGAAGAACCGAACCAGACTGATAACAGCGGGTCCATCCCAGACCAAGGTGCTGCATCACTAGCACAGATCAGAGACAAGGTACAGAATTAATGCTTAAAAAATACAAAACTCCAATTGAGAAAGTATGTTAAAACAATCAGCCTATTATGGATTTTATTACAAAGAAAACACATGCAAATTGGTATATTGCAAATGCAAAAACCTAATTAAACTGAAATTAAAATCACAGTTCAATATGGCTGCAGATGTTGATTATAAATGAATTATTATATTACTATTGAATATTTTTGGAGATGCAACATTTGAAGTCCTATTTGACCTCATATATTCTGTACATTTCGAGGACAAATTAATCCAAAAGTAGCAAAAAGTTATCTCAGTTAATTTGCTCACTGAGTTGGAGTAATTCAATAAATCGCATCACAGATCATAACTTTTAAGATGTAATGACTAATTTTTTCAGTATCTTTTGCAAGTGAAGTAATCTAAAAGCTAATAAGCTTTCAATCTTCATTTTATTTCTGAAAAGAAAAAAGAAATCAGGCAGAAAACTTTTCTCCTTTGGTAGAAGTGTAAAATATAAATACACAGACATTTGAATGAGCCAGCTAACACTTCATGGTTTCTTAGATGGTTTAGTGATTGTGTTAGGTTTGTTAAAATATAGATATTACTCAAATATATAAATGTACATAATCCAAAATATAAAAAACAAATATCTAAAACAAATCCAAGACAGTAGCTGCTTACTAATATTAAAAGTTCTTTTTCAAACATAATTTAAATCATTGGAGAACCGAACAACCGCCAGATTAATAGTCTTTAATATTGTGTCAAGAGGAGCATAGTTCCAAACCAGATTTTGAACATAGTTAAAAGATAAAAGTGATGTATGCAGTCTCACCTAAAGTTAGCTGTCGTTAGCAAATCGCTAGCTAATTTACTAACTATCTTGCTAATGTTAGCTAGTCACATCTGATAGTTGATGTTCACTGAAGAGAAGCTAATTTGCTAGCTAAAAATGTATGTAGATTAGTTAGTTAGTTAGTATGGAAGCGCATTGCATTCACTAGATAAAAAAAAATTTGACACCTTATCTCGTAATTACTATTATTATTATTATTATTATCATCTCTTCAACACGTCCTGGCGGAAGCTACAATATGAGCTGATCTCGTAAGTACGAGATCTTTTCTCGTAATTACGAGATCAGGATCTCGTAAGTACGAGATAAGGTGTCACATTTCTTTTTATCCAGTGAATGCAATGCGCTTCCATAAGTTAGCTACCTTTTTGCTAATATTAACTACCTTAAGATGTGACTATAAACTGTATATGTCGCTATCTTTTAACCATCTTCAAAAAGTGGTTGTCTTTTCAACACAATTGTGGAAAATTGACGGGCGTGGCGAAGAAACAGTCAATTAGACTGCATGCATGGTGTTTTTGCTGTGCCACATCAACAAACTAAAACTTAACTAAATGAAATACACAACAAAAACATAAAGCAAAACTTTGAATCTCATGAAACAAAATTAGTTTTAATTTTGTCCCCAATCGGGTTCGCCAACAAACCAAGTCAGGTCAAGTCAATTTTAATTTTAAAAGCTCAAACAAGTTTGTCTTCGAGGGCTTTAAAATCTGTAACACGTAGAAAACACACCCTGGATTCAGATAACAAAGAACTCAAAAAAAACACCAGAAACAACATTTTTACAAACTTTCTCCTTCCTCTTCCTTCAGGTCCTCGAACACTCCCACCGGCCTCTCCACCTTCGTAAGGGAGACTTCTACTCCTACCTGTCTCTCTCCTCCCATGACAGCGACTGTGGCGAGGTCAGCCAGTGCTCCGAGGACAAGAGCTCCACTCCGGTGCCCTACAGCATCCCGTCTTACGTCACACCAACACAAGGCCTCCACAGCCCGAGCCCTGAGCTCTTCACGAGCAGCAGACAGCAAATATCGACCTCGAACTCGTCTTCCAAACTCTCCTCTCCTGGCCTTCACTCCAAGGACAACCTCTGTGCTCTTGATTTGAAGTGTGCTGATTTCCAAGCCAACAGCGCTGCTAATGGTAGCCACGCTGAAGAGCCGACGAGCCCCTTTCTATCCCTGCCCCCTAGCCCTGACATCAGGGACGAGGAGACCCTGTTTGCCGCCTGTACGGAGGAGGTTTACCTGGGCCCGCCTCTCTGCTACAGCATGGTGCTCACCAAGAAACCACGACGGTTCTTGAAGGAAAATGTGGAGTATTTGTCCTGCCTGGACCCTGGCTATGAACTGAACAGTCTAGCTTACTTGCCTTGTTCAGAACCAAACAATAGTCAAGAGGGGCCTAAACCGGGTGATAGTCTAAGCTACCCGTCTCCCTCAAAGGAGTCCATATTGGATAGAGATCAGGATCACCTGTATTTCCGAGGATCCAGTCCCACACCTTTCCTGGAGCCTTGTTACAGCTCATTCTCCACCTCCTCGCCTTCTGACAGCGCCTCCGCCTCTCTCCAGGGGCCCGGCTCCAAACCAGAAGAAGACAACCCTTCCCTTCCCATGTCCTCTGGCGCTGAGGAAGAGAAGCGAGGTGAGGACCCGTACCTCCTCTGTGATGTCGCTGGAGGAGAAGTCGCGGCCGCTGTGAGTGTCAGCGCGCCGCAGGAGGAGAGGAGTCGTAATGAGGGGCCTCCTTATCTTAATCCCCGGGCGCGTGTCGCCCCGATAGACTCCTCCGCAGCCGAATGTTTGGCAGATACTAAAACGCTTGAATCCAATATGGGCGCCGTAATGACCAAGATAAGTGTCTGCAGCTCCGCTACAAATCCCTCAAAAGAGCCAGCCGCCACCGCCACGCGTATTAATCCCAAAATTAACTGCTCGGCGATGAGGGAGGCAGATAGGGAGGAGGGGGCGAGGCGAGGAGAGGTGGATACTCGGCGGGTGAAGCAGGAGGAGAAAGGGAGGAGAGGGCGGAGTGGCTCGCAGCGGGAAGCAAAGACAGCAGCAGAGAAGCAGGTTAGTGTTCCACGTATTAGCCTGATGTGCTATCTCAGGACATTATACAGGGCCTTGATACTGCACTTCACCTCTCTACTCCAGGTATTAGTCCGAGCCGAGCCCCTCAGTGGGTATGAATGTAATGAGGCCGGTGTGCGTTTCTCTCATTTCCATTTGTGAGGCCAGACAGACGTGAGAGGTGCTGATATGCGTAACCTCCCCTCTTCTCCTCCTTACCCTCTCTCCTCCTCCTCTCCACTTCACCGTCATCCTCTACTTTTTTTATTTCCTCGTCCTCACCTTTCTCTTTGTGTCCTTTTCTCTACTCCACCCTTCTTTCTCCTTGCCTCCTTCACTCCTCTCATCTCCAACACCTCCCATCTTCTACCTTTCTCATCCTCCTCTTTTTAATCACCTCTTTTATCTTCACCTTCTTTATCCCAACTTCTCATCTTCTCCTTCTCCTCACCTGTACTCTCCTTCCCCTCTGTTCTTCTCCTTCATCCTCCTATCTCCCTCTCCTCCTGCAGGTATCTTTTTCTTCTCCTCCGCACTCCTCTTCTTTTCTTTCCCTCCCCCATTGATCTTCTCTCCCTCTTCTTCCCTCCTCCTCTGCCTCATCCCTCTCTCCTCCGTCAGGTGTTAATGGAAGGGGGATTTGCAGACGTCTGAGTTTTTTAGTTAAAAGGTTAAGGTCCACAGAACAACATCAGCATAATTACTATCAGTCAGATTTCATTAGGATTCATCAGCTAAGAGCCTTCCTCATCCCGCAGTGATCGTTCAATTCATTTCATCGCTGAATTAGCGTGTTTGTGCTCTTTTTAAGTTTTCTATTTCCTCATGCAAATGACTTGACATTTTTTACCATCTCTGCAACCTTGCTACCTCCTCTGTTTATCAACTTTACACTCTTATAGAGGAACGCGGCTCAGCTGAAGAGCTTGTTTCATTTCTGATCCAGTGCAGTTGTTTTTCACACAGTGCATGTTAATGTGGGCTACATTTACTGCACATAAAGCAAAATCACATCACACAGAAAGGGCCATGACATGCAACACTGGTCGCTTTGTAACCATTTTGTTCTCCTTTTTAAAATATATTAATTTATTGTTTTTGTATTTTTAAAAGTAGTTTTCAAGTTTTATTTTTATATTTTCCCCCAAAGTTTTGAGACTTAAGACTTTGAGATTTTTTAGTTTTAGTTTAAAATGTTTTTATAACACAAATAAAAATGATGAAGCAAAGAGTTTCTTTAAGTTTGTTTGATATGGGATGGAAGAGGATACAGGAAGCTAATATTATACAACAATAAATATATATCTTCTTTAAGATACTCCCTGAGCCAAAACTATTTTTATTTTAATTTATCTTGCTGTTACTTATTATTTGTATTTAGTAACTCTTTGCTTTATTATTAGTTTAGTGTTTCTGACATTTTGTTTTCACATTTTTTATATTTTATTTTTGTAATGTTTTCCATTCCTTTGAGACTGTACAGTACTGTAGAGGATTAAGAGGTTTTTTCGAGGGAATCATGAATCTCATTCTTCTCTTAGACGATAATGTAACTGAACCTGCTGCAGCGTTTCTTTCCTAATGTGTTATAGTTTCCTCATTAGCTTATAAATTCATTGAAAGGGCGTCAAACAAAAGACAAAATGAAAATGCAAAGATGGAAATGCAAATATGTGGGTGGATGTGCTTCTTTGGCATGTATGTGTGCATGTAAGCGTGACTGCATATGCATATGTGTGTGTGTGTGTGTGTGTGTGTGTGTGTGTGTGTGTAAGCTCGTAGCATTGGTAGCTGTATGGCGAGGGATAATAGCTACACAAGTCTTTACAAAGCGATTAGTTGTGAACCAATTAAGAGAGCGGGGTGGAGTGGGGGAGAGAATTGTTTTCGGCCTGATGCTCGTTGTTTTAATTTGCAACTTTTCATCAGTTTGGGCTCAAAGAAAGAACAAGCCGATTAGAAAACAAAGACAAACAACGTTTCAGCCCGATAATGCCGTTTTGATTTATTCTTCTCTCCCTTCTCTTGTTTGTCTCTCTCCTTTACTCGCTCTCTCGCCATCCATCGCCACCTCTCTCTCGCTGTTGGGAAGAGAAGAATAAAGTGGAACATTGTTTTCTCATTCTCAGCTGTATCATGTATTTGCCTTCATGTGACTAAACAATTTCTCTGTTGTTTCTCTTTCCTCCATCTTTTCCTTTCCTCTCCGTTCCCTTTGCAACGCTTTTCTGTCTTTTCATTTCTGTTCCACTGATGTCTCTCTTTGTCTTTCTCTGTATATATTCTCTCTCCCTCTCAGGTGAGCTCACATGCCACCAGAACAGCACCAGGACGGAGCCAGGCCTCAGTGAGACCGCCCACCATGAGAACAGGGACAGTCAGAGTGAGTTAACACGCACATACTCTCCAAAAGAAGTCTGCTGCAGCGTTTTTACCATCACTTATCTATCACTGAAGGGTTTTAGACTTTTACTTGTGTGATTACTCTGTCAGAGATTATGTACCAATGTCTCCAATACCAAACCAATCACAGAAAGTCAGAACGGAAAACAAAGAGTTTCACCAAATTTGGAACACAAGCTGTGATTTCCATGAGTTTCACTGATCAAAACAAACACCATAATTGTTGCGACTCATGCAAAAGTATCAGCAGCAAACTTAAATGCAATTCTCAAACACCAGTAATTTGTGAAACGTGATGCCCAAAAGTTTATTTATCATATGCACAGCGATTGCAGGCGCAATGGTAAGCAGTCATTCTCGTTCTTAAGCTCCCTCCAACAATGCTCATACAAAATATACAAAAGAAAAACACACAAGTAAAATGAGAGATGAGAAAAAGAGACATAAATAGTGCACAAGTTAAAATAAAGGAGTAAAATAGAATATATGTTAAGGTAGATGCTTAAACAGTAGGAATGCAAGTGTAAACATGTAGTAGGCCTATATATATATATATATATATATATATATAAAACAATTCTAAATATATACATGTACATACACACATATAACATGAAATACATATGAGGTGAAGCTCAAGACACAGCATCTGGAACCGACCCCTGGGTTTCGGCACTGAATGCAGAGTTAGCTGGTAAAATAAAAGGCACAAGGCATCGGTGGGCACGTCACTAACTCAAGAATTAATCAGGTTCAAAATCATGATTCAAATAGCTTCGTCTAACAGGAAACTTATTGTCACAGCGATAAATCGAGCATTCAAAGCTAACTTACATGTTCTTGCATTGACTGGAGAAGAAACATCAGTGTTCTTTTTCCAAAAACGTGAAAGAATAAATGTGTGATGTGGCCAGAATGGAGTTGCTTGGCACAGACTGACTCCGCCTGTCAGGACCAGTATTGGTGTGCGCATGGATTTCAGATGTTACACATCTGGAAATATAGACAAAAGGAACAAGACACAACACGTTATTGACAGTTTACATTCAGATTTAACCATCCATACACTTTTACTGCCACTGTTACTTTCTAGAGTAATAATTCCCTACATTTCTCAGTTTCAGTAAAAAGACTGACAACATGCAGCACTCCCTTAGCTCACCTGAGCTGGTGTAAAGCTTTGCTGCAGCGGCCATGGGTTCGACTCCGACCTGTGGCCCTTTGCTGCATATCATCCCTTCTCTCTCCCCCTTTTCCTTTCAGTGTTTTTGCCCATTTTCAGTGGTGTAATTGGGAACCTGATAACAATATTTTTTTCCTGTTCTTCAAAAATGTTTCAGATGAAATTACTGGAACACTGAATTTATTTTAGTTTTCATCAAATTTGTTTTTGTTTTTTCAAATTATTTTTAAGCTTAAATCAAACCAGGAAGCTGCAGAACACGAACAAAGGCCATCACTGACACAATCTGTGTGTGTGTGTGTTTGTGATGTGGCCCTATGGGCGCCTCCAGGGCTAAGCAAAACCTACTGCCCCCATACTCCAAACTCACACACACACAGACACACACCCCTGAGGGCAGGGCATGAGAGTCCAGGTAGAAGCTCTGACAGCCCAACAGCTGCAGGTTAGACAGACATGTTGTTCACACACACACACACACACACACACACACACACACACACACACAAAGCAGAGGACAAACCTGCATACACACTTACAAGCACAGAAATACACACATGAAAGTGAAAAATCAAGCTCACTGTACACACACAACGCATGTAAACCCACGACAAAGGACACACACGCGCGCACACATCATATCGGTGATGCGTACAGCTGGTCCTGACCCCCATGGCGTGCCCCAGTCTATCCCACCTGTTCACACACACACACGCAGACACACACACACACACTGTACACACAGACACAGGCGCAATTAAAGCAATCGTGAATGCGGCTCATGATGTGCTCTGTGACCCAGACAGCAGAGGGTCTGCAGCAAAACACACAGGAGAGAGAGAGAGAGAGAGAGTGTGTGTGTGTGTGTGTGTGTGTGTGTGTGTGTGTGTGTGTGTGTGTGTGTGTGTGTGTGTGTGTGTGTGTGTGTGTGTATTTGTGTGTGGGTGCAGGTTTCATCACTGACTCATGTTTGGAAAGTTTCATAGAAAATACAAACAGAAAATCCACACAGAAAGAAACTGCGAGGAATAAAATGTACAGAACAGGAGATGACTGGGAAGTTATAATTGTAATAATTGTATGTCTATAATTATATGAGGATAAAATAATTTAAAAACAAAAATAAAATAAATAAAATGTGTTGAGAATAAAACTAGAATTGGTATGACAGTAGAGTTGAATATATTAATATAAAACCAGGATTTAACAGAATGAGAGATTAATTATTCAAACAATAGAATCAAAAGAACACAAGAGCAAATACTTGTTGAGCAGAACTACAAGAACAGAATACATTGATACTTTATTACAGAAGAAAACAAGTAGAAACAACATTAACAGTCAAAGTAGGATATCAAATTTTAAGAAAGAGCAAATGATTATAGCTTTTAATCAGAAAGTATATTACATCTTTACAAACACCTCACAGATATAAAACAGGTTGTCCACAGGGTCCTAAAAAGTCTTAAAAAGTCCAATCATCTGAATTTTAGGCTTTGTAATATGTTAAAATTTCTCAAATATGAGTCTGACAGGTCTAAAATTTTTTATGGGATTAATGAAGTTGCTTTTAAAAGTGTTTTTGGGAAAAACAATTATAAAACAAAAAAGGTTTTAAAAGTCTTGAATTTAACCTGTTAAAAATCTTAAAAACGGCTCAGTAATTTGCTGAAATGACTGCTCACTGTAACTTTAATGAAACAAGGAAATAGCATTTTTTGGGGACTACTTTCAGCAGCGGATTCATCCACATTTGGTGCTCTAGTGAGTATGTGGAGCAGCAGGATGATTTTGATCTTTTCAGGGAATTTGTGGACAAGACGAAAATGAATAGAATATCCCCCAACTGATACTTTGAATCTACAAAATGCACAACATTTTGAATGAGTTAAAGAGAGTGACCTACATTTAAAAAACTCTTTTTCTCTCCATCCATCCAGAGACTACCTGTGTTGGGAGCAGGAACATCCAGGATCCAGCTTTAAGGGAGCTCTCTCCTTCTCTTCCCCCGCTGAGCTGATCTTTCTCCTTGGCTTCGTCTTTCCGGCTGCCTCCCCCCTCTCTGCTCCTGGAGCCTCTCACCCCTCTGACCTCCCAAATCTCACTGCTGTAACTGAACGGATCGTTAAGAAACTGGACTGAAAACTCATCCAGCAATTTCAGGATCACCGAACAACTGATTTAAACTTTTGATCAGATCCGATATTTGAGTCTGATTTCAGGTTGGAATTTGTGTCCATACGTTTCTGAGTGATGATGGAGCAGCTTTTATGGTTTGGCTGAACAGCTTTTTGAGTTAGTCTGTGGACAATTCAATAATTTTACATCAAACATTTACAATTAAGAGTTCAGAAAAATATAGTAGCATCCAACAACCATTTAAATCTGTTTATTGAATTGAATTTTGCAATTACAAATGGGACGATACTGTACAGCATCTTGAGTTAATGATGAACAGTTTCAGGATGGATATAAAGTGTTTGACTAAAAGGAGTTAATTGCAGTTAAATGCCATATTTCTGAAAGGAAAATCACTAAGAGAATCTTTAGTTTTCAGCAGCTGTAGAGAAATATTACGCCTATGAATCAGACAGTTACACGTCATATTTATAGATCAAGTGAAGGCAACCCAAAATCAGCTTAATCTTTTTATTAATTTATTTTTTTAATTATTTTTTTAAGCATGTTTTGATTCTAAGGCACAGAGGTCTGACAATACCACTTGAACTTTTGAACTGTGCCAATGCAGTAAGCCAAACTGCTCTGGCATTTCAAGCAGGACAAATAAAACACCAAGAAGTACGAGTCAGCTGTGGATGTGACTGAAATGATGAGAAATGGTGTTGAACTGACCTGAGATCAGCTGGATTTCACAGGTTTGTTGTGTACACCCTGTTATCTTATATACACTCTGTTCAAACTGTATGCTGCGGTGTTTGTAGCACAAGTAGCATGTTACTTCCTAAGAATAACACTTGGTCTGTGTCTATAAATGATGTCAGTATTCATAATCTGTTACTGTGACTTGGTCAAACTCTGTAGATCTTTTCACAGTCGTAGCTCAGCTAGAAGCTCTTCATCCTGTAGTATCAGCACAACACTGCAGCCTGTGAGTTATCAATGTGGTATAACTCAGTAGATAAACTGTAATATTGGCATCACACAACCACAAAGCTAAATTTAAAACTTCAATTTGTTTAAGCTATAATGAAATGTCTAAAAGGTCGGAACAGATATGAAGAAATCTCGTCGTGATTTACAGATGCATTGATCGTAGAAGTTGAGTTAGTTTAAATAAAAGCTACAAATATAAAGACATAATCAGCTTTGTTTAACTTTGCTGTGATTGAACACAAATCGTTACAAGCTACAAAGAGGCCAATAAGTTGTATTACACTGTATTTATAGAAGATAAAACTTCAACTGTATTTTCATGACTGGACAGAACTACTGAGGATTTGGGCTCGAAGGGTGGAAAATCATTACCAACTATCAAACACACGCTGGTAGACTTTGATTCAGTTGTCCACATCTCATTCATTCCCAGATTTGAACTGTGGTCAAGTCTAACTACGGAACCCAAAAATGCCCAAAACCCAAACCTCAAGACTGGCTTCACCAGAAAAATGCCAGCATCTGGTTGCACCAACAGGGCTTATGCCTGATCTTAATCAACCGTTCATCTTACGCCTAGTCAGAGGCAAGCTTAAAGTCAATTTTGAGTGGAGGCCCTGCCGGATTGGTAGATTTTTCTAATTGAAACATCATCGTAACACTTTTTTGTTTTCTGAATGAAGGCTGCCCGAGTCTGAAAAATCATTTACGGCCTTGGTTATTTCTCTCAAAGTCAACTGCTTCTTATTTGTTTGCCTTCTCTTTTTCTTTGATCCTCCGAAAATGAGAAACAACTGCTGATTCTTAGATGTTATCTTCTCTCACAAGTTATCTCAGGACACTTTTCATATAGAGCAAGTCTAGACCATACTCCTGATAAAATTATTTATTAGACATCCAAGATTTTAGGTCCTTAAGACATGCTTGTAATTTAGCTAATTGATTAGTTTCATCTAACTCGATTGATAGATATAATTTGGTATCGTCTGCATAACAATAAAAGTTTATGCGTGATTCTTAATAATGTTGCCTAAAGGAAGCATATATAAAGTGAACTGGTCCAAGAACAGAACCTTGTGGAACTCTTTGACTAACTTACATACAAGATTCATCGTTAGTTCATTCGTAGTCGAATGGGCATTCATATGGACATGGCAGTCCAGGCAGAGTCAAGATTAGGCCATTCTAATGACTGGTCTTAAGAAATACTGACTTAGATTTAGGATTAGTAAGGACCAGTTGCAGTTGGTGCAACCCATCCCAGTTGTTTATTCAAACACCTAATTGACCTATATGTACCAAACAAGGACCTCTTGTAGCTGTGTGAATTATAATTCTTGTCTGTCAGGAGCAAAGGTGGAACTAGCAAGTTGATATTGTAAAGCAGAACATGCCTTCCAATGCAGACATTAGATCAGAAAACGACGTACAGTTTGTTTAGTTTGGAGGACCTGTTGAAACCTTGGTTACTTTTTTCATGAAGGAATTTAAGTATTGTAGAAATACTATTAGTCTAATTGACTTTTATCCTATATTTCTAAACTAATTTTAACATTGAAGTGTGAAAATATTACCACACAGTAGAGGTAGATGTGGTAAACACTAGTTTCAACACATTGGTGTCTTCAACAGCATTTTTTCAAGTCAGCATTGTCCCTTCCTCCAAATGTAGTTGACAAAAGCAGCCTCATTGTCTGAATTTGGAGAACACATTCCTGAGTGCCAGAAAAGTATCAGCAAAGTTGACAAAGTGACCACTTGGTGGTGAAATGTTCCAACTTTATAAGTTGACGATGACTACCTGAACAACTACCTTAGTTTCTTCTTGAAGTGGAAGTGGAAGGAGGTGGTGATAATGCTATGGTGAATTCTCTGTAGAGAGACTCATTTAGAGAAGGTAAGGCCTTTTCAAGATCAGTTCTCTTTAGAAGTGAAGTCATCAGCATCATACCTTTGCAAAGGTTCCTTTAAATGTTGTCAAAAGGAACAACTAAATTTTGTCCAGATTTAGAGAATGCAACTGCTGTGTCCTCTGCGTCCCTTAGCCACATTAAATCCTTTGCAAGCATTAACAGTTGGTACAGTTAGCATTCATCTCTTCGTTACACATTTTAAGACTCAAACTTAAAAGTATAAGTGGACGAGGACTACCTGAATGTACCCTTAGGTTTGTGTAGAGATAGGAAGCGGTAATGATGCTGTGGTAAATCCCCTGCATCCTGCTTGCCTTCAGTCCTTTGAAGGATGTGTCACCTTGAAATGGGCCACAGATAATCATTTTGAGGTCCTGATTGATTGAAACTGAGAAGCTTGGAGATTTGGTGATGAATTATAGGATATACCTGCTGCTATGGTGGTGGAAGAAGTCACTGTGTTCTGAATCAATGGAAATATTAATGGCCATCAGGTGAAATCTACATTCTGAACTAAACCTGTCCCCTCTCTGCTGGCAGCAGCACCTGCAAACTGAGGGTTGAACCAGGTTTCCAAAAATAAAAGAATATTATAAACAAGACAATATTTTATCTATGCAACACGACCAAAGTTGGCGAAAGCTGAAACGGTGTTGTTGTGTAGGCATTAAAGTTTGATGACTGTTGATGGGGACGTGTGTTGTTATTAATTCTGCTGTATGTATGTACACCACTACTGTACCATGTATTGTTTTCTTTTTTATTTTCTAGACAACTCCTGAAATGATTAGCAGTGACGCTGGGGTTTGGGATTGGTGTTGAGACAAGTGTGTGTAGGACAAAATAGGGTTTGAGATCTTTAAAATATAATTGTGTGCCTTGCTCTACTGTTACTACTTCTACCTTTTGTTAATTAAAACCACTGCTTTCCCAGTTAAGTGATGAAAACATGCAACAAAAAATGAGAAACAAAAACTGTTTCAAGCAAGGTTCAAGTTGAGCTTGTGTATATATGTGAAGGTGTACAACCTTGGTGTAAAATGCAGAGGGAGGAATGCTTGGTGTTTGTGTTTATTTAACTCTGTATGTGACCTGTGATGTGGAATATCTTTATTATTAGTATTGGCCATAAAGAGCTTGACTGCATGGTTCCTGCGAACTACAATGTAAAACCAACTGTTGACAAATAAACTTAATTTATTGGAAAAAAAATAAATTCTGACAATTGTTTTGTACTGTATTTTATTCATTGTACCAGTATGATTTTAACTATATTTTTTGAGATGTATGCTCCAAGAAGACAAAGGGTATGATAGAAAAACCTAAAACAGTCCTTGCTTCTACACATATACTCTGGAAGCCTTGAAGAGACGGTTCACTCCATAATCAAAAAATACATATTTTTCCTCTTACCTGTTGTGCTATTCCATTATATTCCATTCCATTATATTGGAGAGGAGGCAGACATTTCTACAGGCAATATCTCCAAAACTCAGGAACTCACACCAAACTTATCTAGCTTGATAAATTGCACTACAGGTAAGGAAAAACTATTTTGATTTTGGGGTGAATTATCCTTTTAATGTTCTACCGGTCTGTCTCCATTGGGTTGGTTAGAGTTAATCAGCCCCAAAAGTCTAACCTTCAGGAGTTTGGTCACCTGACTTTTAGCTGCCGTAGAGGAAATCCTGACCAGCAGAACACGTCTTCTGGCTTCTTTTACTAAAGAAATTGACTAGACATTCATTAAACTGCCAAGAAATACAATGTCACAGAATTTCATGTTTCTCATGGTGAGCTCAATAGGAAAGAGGACAAATAAAACAATTAAAAAAAGGAACACTTTCAAGAGCCTGAAAGGACTGACAGTATGTGACTCCAAAACAGAATGAAAGAAGGTTTATTAGCAGAGCCATTATTCAGCAGAAGCCTTTGTAAATCATGAAACAGCTGAATTCGCTGGTTAAAGCTGTGCCTTCAGATGTGTTTGTTTTTTCATTTTTACCATTAAAATGCCATTCTGAATCTCTGAAGAACGTTCATTATTTCCTATACTTGGAAAAAGTTGGTGTCTGCTCTACATTTGGTCAGCCATTTATATTGCTGGTAGCTGATTAATAATTATGAGATTAGGAGGATCTATCGGAGGAATGAAATATAATATTCATAGGTATGTTTTCATTAGTGTATCAGCACCTGAAAATAAGAATTGTTGCATTTACATTACCTTAGGATGAGCAGTTTTTACCTACAGAGGGAGGGGGTTCTCTTCTACAGAGTCCGCCATGTTTCTACAGTAGCCCAGAACGTGTTTTTTGCGGCCACTGTAGTTTCTCCTACTAGGAAGGCAAGTGGTATTCAGCTGGTTACAATCTGCAATTTCACCACTAGATGTCACAAATCTCTACACACACGGTTTGACAGGTTGTCCACACTCGAGTGCGGCTCAGGCAGCTTATTTCTGTCATGAACCCGACCTGAGCCAGAGAGTGTATTAACTGAGCCTGACCTAAACCTGACAGGCATTCTGTTCTTTATGTCCAAACCCGAGTCGAACCCCACACAATGAATGTAAATAACAAACCTCAGCACTAAAAGGAAGTAGCCCAGCATAGACACTAGGTCCATCATTTTTTTTTAATTTCACACAACTGTCATTAACAAGAACTTGAAGCACCACAACACCTGATGTGACCAAACCAGACCCGAGCACGTTAATGTCAAGTAAATAACAAACACCAGCAATGAATAGGAAGCAGTAGCACATACAGGGGGTCCATCATTTTTATTTCTTTTTACATTATTTTCACTAAAATAACTATAATATAATAACTATAATCAATGAGGCAAATTTAATTATTGTCACCTTTTATTAATTAATAATTTTTTGTGTCGAAAAATGACTTCATACTCATGAATCTACTACTACGCCAACGCAGCTCTTTGCTTGTCTAAACAGGCCTGTTTTTGGTGTGAATGTTCATATGACTATGCTGCACCCAAAATGCATTCAGCAGCACTAAACACGGATGGAGCAAAAACTTCTCAAAAGTCATTATTAAGTTGATGACGTTACCTGCCACATTAAATGGTTATTTGGCAGGTTGGCGAGAGTTAATTTCAAGTTTTGGACACAATCCCTCAATCTTGTACACAATAAACTAAAATCAGCGCTGGCATTCAGAGGTTTTCTCAAACATCAGACATGTGTCAGGCCCCCAATCATCATAAATGTATCATTAAAATTTTTTTTGATCTTACAAAGATTCAGATTTTTGCCCTTAATCAGACCTCTGTTTTCCTGCTCAGCCACATACCTTCAGGCTGCACGAACAGACAGAAAGTTTGAACTGCTGAGGAGATGAAGTACAATTGAAAGCTGAAGAAAGTGATTGGTTTCAATGATAAACACACACTTTGGTGGATATTACCGAATGTTAAATAATGTTTACTTCATCAGGAGGAGGTCAGTGTGTGAAACAGGAAAATGCTGCTGGTGACACAGAGAAGATGGCGAGATGATGAGGAGGAGGAATAGCCGTGATGTGGTTTTTACCTCTGCTGAATGCAGAGTGTGCAGCTCTCTAATACACACTGCAAATCAATTTGTCCCTGATTGCAGAGACCGTCCTTGATAACATCCTTTAGAGCTGAACCTGGACTGATGCTGTTGGTTTGCTGATGAAAAGCCTCTTTTCACATCAGAACAAATCTTTACGTCGCTGCAGTTTGTGGAAAATGTTCTTATGGGCTTAAAATTATTGTTGTTGAAGTATCTTCTCTCAAAATTAATTTATAATAGGAAGACAAACTGAGTGTCTTCAGTCTTAAAAGTGCTAGTATCATCCTCTGTCTGCTTGTAATACAGTCTGCCTCTTCGACTACTTGATACGGGAAGTCGGTGGAGCAGGTCTCTGTAAAAATGTGGGCACAACCGTCACTGATTTCTAGTTGTTCAGCCCCATTTTGTCCAAAATCGAACATTAGCCAGGAGCAAAAAAAGCTGGATAAAACAAAAATGTGCGCAGCTGTTGCAAAGGCAATAGAACCAAACTTTTGGACAACCAGGTGTCCTTCCCCTACTGCCTACAACTTATGGGGCACAAGTGTCACCAAAGGGAGCCTCACAGAATAAAGCCAAGCTCAGACACAGAAAGGCAAAGTGCAACAAAAACTCTAGCAGCATCACAAGAGGAAGTTTGGAAAGTTGACTCCATTTTTGAGGACATTGCAAGATTTATTGCGGGTCATCGTATCGTTAAAAAGAGGTGAAATGTTGCCTCTTGTTTTCTGGAGCATGTGGCTGGAATTACACATTGCTCCTTAAAAGTCTGGCTCAACAGTCCTCTGGTAGTATTTGTTCCTGTGTGTCTTCCTCTTGCCAGCCGGTGCTCTGCTCTGTGTATTTAACTCTGTCATAACGCTGCATTGTGACACTTCCTTCTGTCTTTCAGAGAGTATCAGAGGAGAGCTGTCAGAGGATTAAAAAAATAGCAGTTAGCTGCAACAAAACACACTCCACATTAAAGCAAATTGCTTCTTGCGATTGTTGATAGTTTCTCATTGTTGCGTCCCTCTCGGTTGGAGCTGTGATGTTGATTGTGGCTGAAGGGGCCTTCAGATGACTGATAAGCGCTGATGAATGAAAATGGAAATGCTTTTCAGCGTTTTGCCTTCAAAGGGAAATCAAATAGGAAGGAAGGAGAGGGGGAGAGCAGTGGAGGGAGAATATTTGCCTTTTTGCAATTAACAAGATATGTTCTTTTTTTGTGGTCAGAAAAATGGAAATGGCTTTTAAGGTCGTAAAGGTCGAGCGCATCGAAGCATGGTGGCTCCGCAATTACTCTTCAGGCAGCGGCCTGATTGGGGGGAGGGTGGGGGTGGGGGTCCGGCCGCGCACTGACGGTCAAATTAACGAGACGGTCGGCTCCCTGTTGAAAAGATCACATGTGATTACCGTACATCAAACAGACAGAGCGCTCAAATTATCTCCTCTCTCACTGTGAAGTCAGAGAAAAAGGGATAAAACGCAGACGGACTGATTAGTTAAAGGCTTTAAATGTCAAAAGTTTCACTGTCCTCAGCTTGAATGAATCTGCTCCTCTCTGCTCAGCGGGCAGGTGGGGGGTCGTCCTCCAGTTTACACCAACTGCAACAAACGGCCGCCCTCGTGACATAATTGAGGACATACTGGATATCATTGGACTCCTCTGTGACATTACAAACTGTGCATTCAATTAATTTGTGTGTTAATGAATCTGCTTTCTAGATATTAGGAAAACCTTCATGCTGGGAGCTGCCCAGTAGAACCAGCAGGGTTAGTAGAGTCATTACTTATATTCACTTTGATAATCAAGATTTTCCAGAAATTCAAATCAGCGACCTTGACGATATCTGATATTGTTCATTGAGTGGATATTTAATAAACCTTTGACATACAAAACAGGAAGAAAAAATGTTATGTTTTCCCTTCCTGTAGGGAAATGTAGACAAAGTGATGTCACATCTAGATTTTTGAATCTAATCAGAAATTAGATTTACTGCCAAGTAGGTTTTCACTTAAAAGGAATTAGCCTTGGTGTTGTGGTGCATAAATAAATCAGTAAATAAGTTTAGAAAAGACAATGAGCACTGAAAAAGTCAAGAATCATAAAAAGAAAAAAATTGAAATTCACATTTAAATGTCCGGTGTGTAACATTTGGGAGGATTTATTGGCAGACAGGGAATATAATATTCATAGGTATGTTTTCATTTGTGTTTAATCACCTGAACATCAGAATATTCTCTTTACCTTGTTTGCACTTTGTAGTTCCATTACCTCATTTGTGACCTGTCTGCTTTAAATGAGTGTGTTGCTGCTTTGATGCAAAGGTTCAGATTAATTTTACAATTAATTTGTTAATAAATATTTCATGAGTGGTAGTTGTTTGTCACATTTCATTAGTAGGCATTAGCAAATAAGAATAAATGTTTACAGAGTGTTAAAACGTGTTTTAGAGGCTATTTTGCACATCAGGAGGGACAAGTGAATGAAGACAATCGTTTATTATAACAGATACTATGTGATGGAGGGGCGTCTGCGCTGAGCAGCAGCACGATAAATCCCCCCACTGCTGGTGGTGGTGGTGAATCTGTGAAGACTGGGTGGTGATGGGGAGGTGGAGGTCAGGTGAGAGAGAGTATCACATTTAAAAAGACAGCTGCAAGATGATAGG